CCTATTCTTCCAGTTTCTGTATTGAGATAAGGTGCTCTTTAGCTTTGGGACTAATAAATTTTGGTTTGAAAAAGAGAGTGAGTTGAAACTTGCCTAGCGATGAATTTTCGGAGGACTCTGAGGAAACCATATTGGCAGTGAATATGTGGTGACAAAATTAAAAACACTTTAACAAAAGATGAAACAAATTATTAACTGACTTATTACCCATCCAGGCAGAAACAGCCACTTACATCTAAGAATCTAAACTTTCCTCTCAGATCTAGAATGTCTTGATGGATAGGTGGGAGATAAGGGAGCTTATTAATAGCAAAATAAAGTTAGATTTTGAGTTTATTTGTCCCTGTTATACTCATGAAAATTAAATATAGATTTAATAAATGACTCTATCTCTTACCGTTTTCTTTTTTTTGGCCACATCTACAACTGACAAAGGGAATTAGCCATGTGGGTGAGGGATGAGACTGAAGTGATTGCCTGCTGCGCTAATTCTCAGAATTGCGCGTTATAGTGACCTGAGCAAATTTTGTTAAAAATCTAAAATTTTAGGCTTTCCCCTGAAGCTTTTGATGTAATAGATCTAGTAAGGCCTGAATGTGTATGTTTAAAAGTGTTTTCTAGAAGCTGGGCACAGTGGCATGTTCCTTTAGTCCCAGCCTGAGCAACATAGTGAGACTCTTATCTCTAACCACAATAACAGCAAAAACAAAAAACAAACACAAACAAACAAAGAAAACCTCAAGGTTTGGATACACTGCTGTTTAAGAACCCCAGAATAGATAAGTGCAATATATACATTTCTGTATCTCAAAAAATGTACAAAATCTCTAGAAGAGTTGGCATTTGCTAGGTGCTACTTTCTTCAAAGTTCTCCTTTTCAGTAAGATTAACCTGACCTGCTTGTCTTTCTCTATGTCTGTGACTGGGAGATGAAAGGGAATATTCTTGGCAGTATCTCTCAGCTTACAGAATAACACCTTTCTCCCCCACCATTAATCATTCACTGCCATTCAGAGTCTTTAAAAATTTGCTTATAGGTAATCTTTCAATAAGTAGAGGTTGACTCTTTAATGATTTCATGTCTCTTTGTCACCATACAGGTGATTGTGTGTCAACAAATGTTCATTACACGTTGGGTTTTCTCAATTAAAATAATAGATAATCCTAAATGTTTTTTTTTAGTTGAAATTGTATTATGAACTAAGTATGTCTGTTGTTTGTAGATCTTTAGCATAACCAGGATGTCAGCTTCACACACTGAAATCCATGAAGTTGATGTAAATTTGATATAAATCAAAAATTCTTTTGATTAAAAGAATTTCCATAGAAATTATTTTGATAATTTAGTTTTGGCAGTCATATAAACTATCTATTTGGCTAATAATCTGGGAAAATTATATACAAATAGATTGTAAATGAATACATGTTGGAAAAATTCTTGAAGTGGGTATTGTGAGTCTTAATAGCAATTTTTATTATATATGAGGGCCTGATTTTTTTTTGGTAAAACATATGATACTAGAGAAAGAAAATATTTTACATGCAAATACTCGGATTATACACAACCATTTAGTTACACATTCATAGCAAATATAAAAACAAAAGGGCTATATTCTAAATGTGCACAGATTTGTTTGCCTCTATAAATTGAGTCAACATGTAAAATTTAGAAGACTTATGCAGAAATCTGGACTTCAGACTTGTCTTAAAAAATCAAATATGGTGTCCTCTGGGTTTCTATCACTGTTGGCTTGCTGTGCAGAGGAATGCTCCTTTATAAAAGGCATATATTCTCCAGTTTGCTACTGTGCCCACATCAGTAGTTTCCTTACTCAGATAACCTTCCTTTGTCCTTGCATTTAAGTTTACAACTCTTATGTTGTAGTATATTTTGATAAAGATTTCAAGGCTTTAGATCAATGTGTATTTGTTTATAATATATAGTCTATATATAGTCTATAGATCATATAAATCCCTCGGTTATGGGGTTGAATTTTAGAATTTAGTTTAGAGCTACTCCTGGTTATTTGAGGCCATCCTTTCAGGAATCTGTGCTTTCATAGACTGAAGATTTCAATATTGGAGACTGCCATGGAGCCCTGCACAAGTGCAATCTGGAAGCCCATAGGAAGAAAGATATTTTGATAGTACTTAGGGAAATAGAGGTACAACTACCAGGACTCTGTTTGTGCAGCTGTCTCTCTTCTTGGTTATCTGAGTGCCTATGAACGTTTTTTGTGTGAGAGGGAGTCTTGCTCTGTCACCCAGGCTGGAGTGCAGTGGCATGATCTTAGCTCACTACAACCTCTGCCCCCACGGTTCAAGCGTAGTAACCTCCCTAGTAGCTGAAGTTACAGGTGTTTGCCACCACACCTGCCTAATGTTTGCATTTTTAGTGGAGACAGGGTTTCAATATGTTAGCCAGGCTGGTCTTGAGCTCCTGACATCAAGTGATCTGCTCACCTTGGCCTCCCAAAGATCGGGGATTTTAGGCATGAGCCACCATACCCAACCCTACCTGTGAAGGATTTAATGGCTTCCTAGTTAATGTGGACCTGAAAAAGGTAGGACATGTAGAGTGAGTATAATGGAATTTTTATTACTGTTAATGTGTTAATCTTTCTGGGAAGAGTATTCTCAAAGAGAACATACACCTTTGTTATTAGACTTCTGTGTACTTAGCATTCACATGTTTCAAATATTGCAGGTGATTCCTGTACTGTTTTGGGACAAAGGAAAGCGATGGGACCTTCTTAAGTGGTTTCTATACTGAGGCATCAAGACTGCTAATTTGAAGTGATACAGATTAGTCTTTTAACCAAAGATAGATAATGGACAAGAAACAGTGGATCTTTCTACCTTGTTTTAGGTCATCAGGTTTCTTCCAGTTTAGGTAACAAAAGTTATGTCATTTATTAGTTGAATTTTGAGTACAACTTCAGGATAGATAATTTGTCAGGGTAAATTATCAGGCTCTGCTATATATTGGCTGTCACTATTATGGAGCTCAAAGTCAGTTTTCATTGAATATTGTATGTATTTAGACAGGACAGGTAGAGGCACAGAAATAGGTAACCAATCTATTTTTAGAACAGAGGCCACATTTTAATTATATCAAGAAACATTATTTAATGTACAGATAGCTGACCTTTTCCCAGATTGTGCTTTTTTGGAGGGAGAAGCTGAATATGAATTGGCAGTTAAAAAATTTGTAAAGAAATCAACTTGCTCATTTTCATTGTATATTTTTGTTCTAAAGCATTTTTCATGAACTGTGTGTTGATTTATGCCCTAAGCCAGATAATGATGACTTGACTGTTACCACCAAGGTAAAGTGGCCTCTTGTAAAACCAATTTTCTCACTCAGTCAAATTTTCCATATTATTTACTTTCAAAATTTAGCAGTGGTTTATCTATTTTTTTTTTTTTTTATGTTGGTAATAAAAAGTTCATCAGAGGAGTCAGTGGTAGCGGTTGTGTGAAGATGGAGTTTCCCGGAGGAAATGACAATTACCTGACTATCACAGGGCCTTCACACCTCTTTCTGTCAGGGGCCAAGACATTCCATACACCAAGCTTGGGTGATGAAGAGTTTGAAATCCCACCTATCTCCCTGGATTCTGATCCCTCATTGGCTGTCTCAGATGTGGTTGGCCACTTTGATGACCTGGCAGACCCTTCCTCTTCACAGGATGGCAGTTTTTCAGCCCAGTATGGGGTCCAGACATTGGACATGCCTGTGGGCATGACGCATGGCTTGATGGAGCAGGGCGGGGGTCTCCTGAGTGGGGGCTTGACCATGGACTTGGACCACTCTATAGGAACTCAGTATAGTGCCAACCCACCTGTTACAATTGATGTACCAATGACAGACATGACATCTGGCTTGATGGGGCATAGCCAGTTGACCACCATTGATCAGTCAGAACTGAGTTCCCAACTGGGTTTGAGCTTAGGGGGTGGCACCATCCTGCCACCTGCCCAGTCACCTGAAGATCGTCTTTCAACTACCCCTTCACTTACTAGTTCACTTCATAAGGATGGTGTTGAGGATTTCCGGAGGCAACTTCCCACCCAGAAGACAGTGGTGGTGGAGGCAGGGAAAAAGCAGAAGGCCCCAAAGAAGAGAAAAAAGAAAGATCCTAATAAACTCAGAAACCAGTTTCAGCATATGCTTTATTCTTTCGTGCACAGGCTGCCATCAAGGGACAGAATCCTAATGCCACTTTTGGCGAGGTTTCAAAAATTGTAGCCTCCATGTGGGATAGTCTTGGAGAGGAGCAAAAACAGGCAAATAAGCAGAAAACTGAGGCTGCCAAGAAAGAGTATCTGAAGGCTCTAGCTGCTTACAAAGACAACCAGGAGTGTCAGGCCACTGTGGAAACAGTGGAATTGGATCCAGCACCACCATCACAAACTTCTTCTCCACCTCCTATGGCTACTGTTGACCCAGCATCTCCAGCACCAGCTACAATAGAACCCCCTGCCCTGTCCCCATCCATTGTTGTTAACTCCACCCCTTCATCCTATGCGGCAAACCAGGCATCTTCTGGAGCTGGAGGTCAGCCCAATATCACCAAGTTGATTATTACCAAACAGATGTTGCCCTCTTCCATTACTATGCCTCAAGGAGGGATGATTACTATTATCCCAGCCACAGTGGTGACCTCCTGGGGGCTCCAACTAGGCCAAACCAGTACAGCTACTATCCAGCCCAGTCAACAAGCTCAGATTGTAACTCGATCTGTGTTGCAGGAAGCAGCAGCTGCTGCTACTGCTTCTTTGCAACTTCCTCCACCCCTACTACAGCCCCCTCCATTATAACAGATGCCACAGCCCCCGAATCAGCAGCAAGTTACCATTCTACAGCAGCCTCCTCCACCTCAGAAAGTTCGAATCAATTTACAGCAACAGCCACCTCCTCTGCAGATCAAGAGTGTACCTCTACCCACTTTGAAAATGCAGACTACCTTAGTCCCACCAACTGTGGAAAGTAGTCCTGACCGGCCTGTGAACAACAGCCCTGAGGCCCATACAACCTTTCCTGAGATTATCTGTGAGATGATCACAGATGTGGTTCCTGAGGTTGAGTCTCCTTCTTAGATGGATGTTGAATTGGTGAGTGGGTCTCCTGTGGCACTCTCACCGCAGCCTCGATGTGTGAGGTCTGGTTGTGAGAACCCTCCAATTGTGAGTAAGGGCTGGGACAATGAATACTGCAGCAATGAGTGTGTGGTGAAGCACTGCAGGGATGTATTGGCCTGGGTAGCCTCTAGAAATTCAAACACAGTGGTGTTTGTGAAATAGTCCTTCCTGTTCTCCAAGCCAGTGAAGAGTTATCTGCTGGGAACATGTCCAAGAGCCTGTTTTTGAAACACAAGCTAGACTTCTGGTAGTGCCTGATTGCAACCCATGATGGCCAATCATGTTTCCCCACTTTTCTCCCTTCGGCAGAGGCCACGCGATGGAGCAGGGCCACTGAATTTTCTGTAATCTGGAGATGCTTTTTGCTTTCAACCCCAAGCAAAAATACCCGTGGTAATAGCAGAGGAATGGGTGAAGAGAGTATGGGCAAGCAAAACATAGAGATGGTAAGGGGTGGTGGTGGGGTTGAAAAAACTTGTTGGTATAATTGTCATAGGACTTGCCTAAAATATTATTAAAATGATGGGAGAGTACTCAGCTTTGAAAAAAAAAAGTTTGTCAGAGAAAAGCATAGACATGGCTAGTTGATTAAAAAAATTTGTTTAACCTTGTTAACTAACAAAAGATTCATTAAGTACTGTGACAGGGTAGGGGCTGAAAGAAAACGAACTGGAAAATACATAGTGACAGGAAAATCACATTAAAAATGCTTTCCCCAATAAAGGAAATATAAAATTTGGTTAAGGTTTATTTGGATAAATATTAATATTGGCTTTTAAATCATACTAGTGGCTACTTTCATAATATTTGTGCCTGTATAAATCTTCAGTGAATCAAATTACTTGTAGTTATAATGGAATCTCCCTCGTACCTTTTATTGGCAAATCTATACAGCACATAGCATATACCTTTTTTTGGACACTTATTATTTTGGTATCATTGTAGTTTTTAGGAGAGATTTTTTTTTCTACTTCTATTATTACTTCTGTAGTGAGACTAAAATAATACTAAAATTTGTAGAGAACTAGCTGAGTATGGTGGTGTACACCTGCAGTCCCAGCTACTTGGGGGTTTAAGGCAGGAGGATTGCTTGAGCCCAGGAGTTTGAGAACAGCCTGGGCAACATAACCAGATTGTATCTGCTTTAAAAATAGAAATTATAGAAATATAGCAATTTAAATTTGTTATCAAAATTTGTATTACAAATGGATTTTTGTGTGTTTTATAAGTCGTCCATAAAGGATATATGTAAAACACTTCATCTAATGAATAACATGTATTTGACTGCAAAAACCAGTTATATAAGCAGACTCTTAATACCAGTATGCAAGACTTTAACACCATAATTTTGTCATTGTAGTTTATTTAAAATATCCACTCAAAGTCTTTATGTTACATTTGGAAATTTAAAATTTCAGAGGTTTTATATTTAGTTGTTTACATAATATGAACTTCCTACATCTACGAGCTACTGGAGATCATAGACATATTTGTGTGTATCCTGGAGTACCTGGAATATCGTCTTTGATGTAAGAAGCTTTGTAATTGTTGCTTTTTCAAGATGGAGTTTCACTCTGTCACCCAGGCTGGATGCAGTGGTGGGATCTTGGCTTACTGCAGTCTCCACTTCCTGGGCTCAGGTGATCCTCCCTCCTCAGCCATCCAAGTAGCTGGGACTGTAGGCCTTTGTTACCATGCTTGGCTGAGCTTTGTATTTTTTGTAGAGGTGCGGTTTTGCCTTGTTGCCCAGGCTGGCCTTTAACTGTTGGACTCACATGATATGCCCACCTCTGCCTCTCAAAGTGCTGGGGTTACAGGCATGAGTTGCCACATTCAGCCTTAATAGTTGTTTAATCTGAATAGATGAATGAATTTTTATATAATGGAATGTTATAAGTAATATACTTAATGTATCTATTGATTAAATACTGCAGTTAAAAATATTGCTTACATTTGTATTATTTTTTAATGTTTAAGGATGTATATGTTTTAATGTGTTATTTTGAGAAATTATGCCATAAATAAAAAGGAAATAAATTAGAAATAGGTCATTAACAGCAAAGAGGGTTACAATATATTTTCTAGTATAATTCAACTGGGATCTTAGATTATGATTTTAGACTAAAATTTCTTAAACATTTTGTTAGCCCCAACTCATGCTCTAATAAATACACCTTTATAAGCCATGTGTTACTCTTTTTTTCTTTTCCCCCTTAATGCTACTAATAAGCCAACATGCATTACTCTTTAGAATTCTGGTGACCAGTTCTTCCTCTTGGTGGAAAGCTGATGGAAAGTTCTAGTTTTCCCTCTCTGTAATAATAACGGTCTTTCAGGTAGTGGTAGATGACCATGGTTAGCTAATTGAATGTTTGATAGTGATAAAATTAAACTCTATATCACAGAAATATTTTTAAAAAACTAATTGTAGCATAAGTATTAGCCTGTATTGTTAGGGCTATAAAGGAACAAAAGGCTCTGTTGCATATCTATTTCTCCATGTACTTTATTGTACATCATGTTGTTTCTTTTCTTTCTTGGCTGAAGCTCATATTAAATTGACTGGTTAGGCTTCTTTGTTGTTTCTCCCTTCATCCTCACATGTTTTTTTTTTTTTTTTTTTTTT